ACAGAAGCACAAGTGAATTCCCACGCGCACTTTTCAGCCCATTCCAGTCCAGCGCGGTGTTCCCAGACACTACCCCGCCGCGTGCGACAAACGCCTCGTGCGCGCGTGCAAAAAGCGAAGAAGAAAAGCGTGCAAAAGTAACCCTCCCACGCTGTCAACGAGACTCACACTTTCGCGACTTCAGGCTTGTTATTAAAGTGTTTGCAACGCGGGCTCTAATTCATAGTATACAATATGTTCCGGTTCCCCGCTTCCTTCATTCTACAAAACGCATTATATGCCTTTGAATATACAGAGGCATTTCAACCCAAAATTGCAAATGCCGTGTCATGTGATGAGGCTGCATGCTGTTGATCTCCCTCCCGCCTCTTAGCGCGCCAGTTCCACCTTCCTCAGAGGGAGAGACTCCCCTTTAAAATAGAGGGAGCCGCCATTCTAGCTCCGCATTCAACCCCTGGAAACAGAACAGTGGAGACTGATGACGGAGAAAGAAACTTCTTGATGGAGCAGTCACGAGCGTAGATTCGAAAATAACGAGAATTCCTTATTCGCAATAAGTTTTAGGATTTTAACAAAGAATAATTATACAGTTATCATAGATGCATTTAGCTTGATATTATTTTGATTTACATATTGAAAATGGAATATTTCTGAAAGAAAGAGGGCATAAAGAGTTTTGGCCAAAAACTGGCCATTCTCCTGCACCCACAGCAACGGGATGCAAAGCAACATTCGGGGGAGGGGCTATGGATTGCAGAATGCACGCCACTCCCTACCTTCCCCTTTCCTCCCCCCTCTCCGCGCCTCCGTACCTCCACGCGCCCCACTCTCGTCCTTCTGCGCACCTCCCACCTCGCAGCACACGGAGGACAATGCGCCTGCACGCGAGTGCCTTCTTCGCTGTGGGCCGTGGTAGAGACTCGAGTAGGTGTCCATGCAGGGGCCCCACTCGCCAACTCAACTGCTCTCTCGTCCAGAGCAGTTCAGTCCCTCGCCGCGTCTCCCAAAATCCACTGTCAGTGAGATATGTACAACGGAAGTATTTCAGTTTAAAAATCGTTATTTCATTGCAGCCTGCTGTTAAATAAACAGTAGAGGTGTATGAAAACTAATCGGAAATTAATATTGTTTTCAATCGAAATATACCTGTACATCAAGAATATCGGATAGTTTCATTTGTTGATAGTTTGATTATATGTATTAATTTAAAATTTAAATGGGACTTCAATACACTTTGAAAGAATAAAATTACAAAAATATCTGTAAAAAAGTTGTATAAAATATCTGTAAAATATCTGCGAAAATAAAATATCTTAAAATCTGGAGAAAATGATGAATAACATGAAATTATATTAGTGTTAACTAGAAATGTTTGAAAACATTTACAAACTCAAAATACCGTGTTTCTAAAATTAATTTGAATAATTTAATTAAGATTTTTCACAGTCATATTGTTTCTATTCTAATTAACCATTTAAAGGCTTATGATTCTCACTTTTAGGAGCGCACATTGTGCGAAGGCAGCGAATATTCCATTTCTAGAAATCGCACTCTCCATACTTCTTATCCCCCATTTAGCGCCGCAATTAGCAGGCCATATTCTGCACGCGGCGCTTGTGGGTCAGCGAGCGCCTGTGTGTGATAGGAATCGTTGGCGCTGGCGCGGCGCTGCGCAGCGAGCGTGGCGGAGGTGGGTGGGGT